GCATTGAATAAACTGGAAACATCAGCTTTGTCCTTGCTCTAGCACTTTCAACATGGTTTTCAGAATGTAAGAGGCTCTGAAGGCCCCAATATTGCTGTGTCCTTTTAGCGAGAAGAGGAGAGATGGAGAGCTTGCAATGGGGCCACCTCCAATCATCCTGGGAAATCCTGCAGACAAAGGAAGGTTGCCTGTTTCTGGGTCAAAAAGCCATCCTTCGGTCTCAGGGGTGTGGGCTCTCTTATCATTCCACCTTTCGCGCATGAGCCTCTAGCACAGTGGTTCTCAACCTTGCTGCGCATTAGAATCACCTGGGAATCTTTTTAAAATCCTGATTTCTGGGCCTCATCCTCTGGAAAATTCTGTTTCTTTGTTATGGGGTGAGGCCACAACATTAGTAACAAAGAAAACAGAATTTCCGGAGGATGAGGCCCAGAAATCAGGATTTTAAAAAGATTCCCAGGTGATTCCAATGTGCAGCCGAGGTTGAGAACCACTGTGCTAGAGGATGAGGAGGGAAAGGTGGGATGATAAGAGAGCCCACACACCTGGGACGAAGGATGGCTTTTGGCCAGGAGCAGCAGCCTGGGGTTTATTTGCAGATTGGGGAGGAATATTCAAAGTGGCCCCTTTTGCAAGCTCTCTTCTCTCCTCTTCCCCCTGAAAAGAGCTCAAGAAAAAATGGGGCCTCCAGGCCTCCTTTCAATCTGGAAACACTTGTAAGAAAGGCACAGAGCAAGGACAAAGAGGAGTCTCCAGTTAGCTCCTCTGCTACCCACGCCTGCCCCATCCATGCCTGAGAACACAGCCCACCATCCACTACCCTTTTTTTTCAGTTTTATTGAGAAATAATGGACATACATCACTGTATAAGTCTTACAGCATGATAGTCTGATTTACACATATTGTGAAATAATTACCACAATAGGTTCAGCTAGCATCCACCTTTTCATATAGACACAATAAAAAGAAAAGGAAACAAAATTTCTCCTTGTGATGGGAACTCACAGAATTTACTCTCTTAATAACTTTCCTATCTATCATACAGCAGTGTTAGCTATAGTCATCATGTTGGACATTACACACCTAGTTCCTATTTATGTGATAACTGGAAGTTTGTCCCCTTTGACCACCTTCCAATTCCCCCATCCTTCTTCCTTCATGCTGCAAGCCAGCCTAAGACACAGCAGCACTGCTGTGCGCCACACCCCCTGCTGCCAACTCCTGAGATAAGTACCCTTTTCCAGCTCCCTTCCCCGCCTCGCTTCATCTTCCCACTGAGCAAGCCTGGGGAAACAATAACCACCTATGGCAGGTCTTCATGCAGCGTATCCTAACTACATGATCCCTCCCCTTTATTTCCATTGAGGAAAATTCACGTAACCTAACACTGACTGTTTTAAGCATTTTAAAGCATACAATTCAGTGGCTTTTAGTACATTCACAGTGTTGTATAACCACCATCACTATCTAACTCCAAAAGGAAACTCTGTACCCATTAAGCACTCACTCTCCATTTCCCCCAGCCCCTGGCAACCACTAATCTCTTTGCCTCTGGACTTTATTCTGGGTAATATATTAATGGAATCACACAGTAGGTGGCCTTCTGTGTCTGGCTTCTTCTGCTTAGGATAACGTTTTGAGAGTTCACCGTGTGTTTTATTTTTATGGCTGGACAATATTTTATTGTATGGATACACCACATTTTGTTTACCCATTCATCAGTTGGGCATTTTGGGTGCTTCCGCCTTACAGCTATTGGGAATAGTGTTGCTATGAACATCCGTGTACTAGTTGTTTGTACACCTGTTTTTAATTCTTTGGGGTATAAACCTAGAAATGGAATTGAGGGGTCTTTTGGTAGTTCTACATTTAACTTTTTTAAAACATATATTTTTATTGATTTCAGAGCAGAAGGGAGAGGGTGAGATAGAAACATCAATTATGAGAAAGTATCATTGATCAGCTGTCTCCTGCATAACCCACACTAGGGATTGAGCCCCCACCCCAGGCATGTGCCCTGACCGGGAATCGAACCACGACCTCCTGGTTTATAGGTCGACATTCAACCATTGAGCCGTGCAGGCCAAGCTACATTAGACTTTTTGAGGCATTGCCAAACTGCTTTACACAGCGGCTGCCCCATTTCACTTTACCACCAGCAACTTATGGGGGGTTCCGATTTCTTCATATCCCCACCAACACTTGTTATTTTCTGTATTCTTTTGATAATAGCCATCCTAATGGGTGTAAAGTGGCATCGCATTGTGGTTTTGATTTACATTTGCCTAATGACTAAGGATGTTGTGTATTGTCTCATGGGCTTTTTGGCCATTTATTTGTCTATCTTCTTTGGTGAAATGGCTATTCAAGTCCTTTACCCACTTTTGGCGGTTTGTCTATTTGTTGTTGAGCTATAAGAATTCTTTATATGCCGAAACCGGTTTGGCTCAGTGGATGGAGCGTCGGCCTGCAGACTGAAGGGTCCCAGGTTCGATTCCGGTCAAGGGCATGTACGTGGGTTGCGGGCACATCCCCAGTGGGAGATGTGCAGGAGGCAGCTGGTCGATGTTTCTCTCTCATCGATGTTTCTAACTCTCTATCTCTCTCCCTTCCTCTCTGTAAAAAATCAATAAAATATATTTAAAAAAAAAAGAATTCTTTATATATTCCAGAGAAACCCTATTATTTGACATCTGATGCCATGGGGTGAGGGGTTATTTGAGGAGGAACCTGGAAGTGGATTGGACAAAGGGAATCCCAGGGTGTTGGTTGTGGCTTGCCTGCTGACATGAGGAACTGTTGGTTCTTAGACTTCTGACACATAAATTGACAGAGAATGTACCAGTGAAGAACTCTCAGAAGTCTATGATAAGGAAACAAATTCAGTACTGGCCTTGCTGACTATGACCTACATATGACATATCCTGGGAAGGAGCTCTGATCATCGGAAAGTGACAATGAAAGTACCTTTCCCAAGAAGAGTCAACCAATAACTGGGTGTCTGTGTGGCCCTCCTGTCCTATCAGGGAGAATGCATCAAAAAGTATGAGGGCCCAGCTGATGTGGCTCAGTGGTTGAGCATTGACTCATGAACCAAGAAGTCACTGGTTCAATTTCTGGTCAGGGCACATGCCCAGGTTGTGGGCTCGATCCCCAGTGGGGGGCATGCAGGAGGGTCTCTCTTTCATCGATGTTTCTATCTCTCTCTAAAAATCAAAAACATATTTTAAAAAAAATAAATTAAAATTTTTTAAAAAGTATGATGAATGCTGAGACTGTAGTTCTGGAGCTAATAAAACAAGGCAAAAATAATCACAAATAACTTGTCTAAAATATGCAATTGTTTTCAAACTGCTTTTAGGAGGCAATTCTCATTCTTTTTTAATTTTACTGTATTTTATAATTCTTTATTGTTCAAAGTATTATATATGTCCCCCTTTATCCCCCACTGACCCCCTCCAACCCGCCCCCTGCCCCATCCCAGGCCTTTAGCACCCTCTTGTCTATGTCCGATGGGTTATGCATATAAGCATACAAGGTTTTTGGTTGATTACTTCCCACCCACCCACCCTCCCCCCAATTCTCATTCTTATTCTATTAATTTTAAATCTAGCTCTTCTATGTTGCACAAAAATATTTGTAGTTTTTGTCTAGAACATGGAAAAGGTTTTTACATAAATCATTACTAAAAATTTTAACTTATCTTCCTATACATTAAGAAAAAATTACAAACTGCTTTGTACTATAAGATGTTCTGATAACTATCTGATCTTAGGTTTCATTTTTTAAATTGGCACTTGTACTCTCTTATATTTTATTAGAACTAGAAATATGAACTAGAACTAGAAAAGATAAAATGGAAATGAAATCCAAACTACTAAAACTAAAAATGAACCTACTAAAACTTGGTTCATGCCCTCTGAATTATGTGAGTTTTTAAAAAAAAAATGTTTTTATTGATTTTTTTTTTTTTTAGAGAGAGAGAGGGAGAGATAGAAACATCAACATCAATTGGCTACCTCCTCACACCTGGGTATGTGTCCTGACTGGGAATCAAACCCGTGACCCTTTGGTGCATGGGACAATGCTCTAACCAACTGAGCCACATGGCCAGGGTGGAGATTTTAATTTAAGTTTAAAACAAAAATGTGGCTAAGTTGGTTGAAGTGTTGTCCAGTATACCAGAAGGTTTCAGATTTGATTCTAATCCATGTATCTCTCTCACATTGATGTTTCTCTCTCTCTCTCTCTCTCTCTCTCTCTCTCTCTCTTCTTTCCCTGCCTTCCTCCCTCTCTAAAAGTTAATCTAAAAAAAAATAAAATAGACTTGGCAGAGTTTCCTCCTAGTATGAAAACAATTGATTGAAATCCAGGCAACATAACAGGTATGCAATTTTATTCCCACTTCATCCCCATACAGCTGTTTTTATCCTCCATAAGACAGCCAGACAATCAAAGATCAGTTTGATTTGGGCTTGCTGACAGAGTGTCTACAGGAGTTTTTATGTTTGACCAAAGGGCCTCGTGTGTGGCCTTCACCAGGCCCCTGGGGACCAGGTGGGTCAGTGCATGGCACAGAGAAACATGGCGGCAGAGGAGCAGTGTCAAGACCATCCAGAGCTTCTAGCCTTCCTCACATGCATAGATATTCAAATTAAGAACGTAGTAATGGGAACAAGAAGAAAAACTCAGGTGGAAAAACAGATTATACAAAAGTGAAAGGCTGTAACTATTACCTGGGCCAAAGAGAAGATGTACAGTCCCCAGTGAGGCACCCACAGCACGAGAAAAGCTGTCAGTACACTCTTGAGGATTACCGACAGGCTCTCAGCAATCACCTGCAAGCATGTGGTAAAGAGCGTTACTTGGAACATTTAAAAACCATTTTAAAAGATGCAAAGAAATGACAAATAGAAAATCGGGGCCACCGGTTACACTGGCAGTGGGGCTGAGGCATAGGGCTGGGCATAATTTTGGTAATGTCCTACTTGCATTGGGTGGTAGGCTCAGGGACCTCCAGTATGTTATCATGCTCTAAGATTTACAGGTATGTTACAGACACTCTTTTGTACATATCAAGTTATATGTTTTAAAAGATAAAGAGAAAAGTTAATATTAGTATACAACTAAAAATATAATTAACTGAAAAACCTTTAGAGTCCACTTAAATTCTTATCTAAATTAATACCTTCCCTATTAATGAACCTGTTTTTTCATTAATAGCATAGTAGAAGTAAACTTTAGCTCAGCCTACCTGCCAAATTTCAAGTGAATGAACTAAATTTATCATATTACCTTTCGAGATGCAAGTCTGAAAAATAGCATTCTCTACCATAAAGGTATTTTTTTTAAACATTCCTTCCCTTATTCTTTGCATTTCCCATTCACAGCAGAAGGCATACTGACCTTGAGCTTGACAAACATGTGTGCTTGTGCCAAGACCCAGAAGGGCTCTCCCAGAAGTTCCACCACAGCCGAGAGACCAAACAACACCACTCCAGTTCCATAGTGGGGGACGACGTTAGGATCAGGCACTTCAAGCAACCGTAACCAGACCCAGCCCAGGAACAAGGACCAAAACACACCCAGAGGGACTCTAAAAATGGGGGGAAATGTTCTTTAATATGCTAAGTATAAAAATATAAATATATATTACAACAGTGATACTGTCCTGGTCGGTGTACTCAGTGGTTAGAGCACTGGCCTAAGCACGAAAGGGTCTCAGGTTTGATTCCAGGTCAAAGGCACATACCTGGATTGCAGGTTCAATCCCCCGCCCCGTCATGGCGCATGAGAGAGGCAACCAATTGATGTCTCTCTCTCTCTCTCTCTCTCTCTCTCTCTCTCCTCCTTCCCTTTCACTCAATCAATGGGGAAAAAAATATCCTCAGGTGAAGATTAACAAACAAACAAACAAATAAACAAAAATAGTAGCACTGAACAGAAAAGAAATATAGTTATAAGCATAAAAATAGCTAATTCCTATTAAGACACTACATGCCAGGTGCTATGATTCACCCCCTTTGTCTCACTGATACCTCACAGTGATCCTGTCATTATCTCTACTTAAGTGATGAGACAACTAAGGCAGACAGGCACTGGGTAATTTGGCCAAAGTTATGAACAGTTAGTGAAGGGCAGAAGCGAGGCCCAATCCTGATCTGTCTAATGCCAGGCTACACTCCTATCCATTGTGTTACACTGACTCAAAAAACAAAATTCCCCCAAAGTGTGTGCCTGCTGCTTCTACCTAGAATGACTGAAAGACAGTATACGGCTGGTACTTACACCCAAATGGCCACTGATGCAGAGCACAGTATCCTTTCCCATGGGTACCACAGAGCACTTACATATGACTGGGTAGTTAAGTCATTCCGCTAAGAAAATGAAAACCTACCAGCCCTTAAGATTGCCATTTCCATGAGGCAACAGGAGTTACGCAAGAGCAGCACTGGGAAACAACCTCAACCACCAGCCCTCCCTGCAGGGATTTAACTGCAGAAAAGCTATTACCATTGTTAGCTAATGTGCTTGGTCCTCACGAATATTCTAAAAGGCTCAGAACTGAAATCAACATAACAAAATTGAAGGAAGATATAATGAAACTCCTAAAAGGCTTTCAAAAAATACTAAGACTAAGTGGTTGTTAAAAGCTCAGAAAATGCCACAGGGGGAAAGATTAGGAATAAAAGAGATGGCCCAGGCCCAGGAGGACCCGGACTGGGGATCAGGAACAGCAGAAACAGCCTCCAGAAAGGGCAGAGGCAGGGCTGGAATCTGGCCCAGAAGCCCCCACCTGGAGCCGCCTCCTGGCTCCGGATCACCAGAAGGAAAACGGCCGATGCCAAGTCCCCAGAAACCCACTGCAAAAGCAAGGCTGTGGGCTGTGTAACCGTTAAACTGTTGCTGTTGAACTTGTAATATTTGTTACCTTTGCCTTTGAAACTGTCTCCTGACAAGCAAAGCACAACTCACGTCAGCCACAGGAGGTTGATGGTCTGGCCCCAGTCTCGCTGGGTGCTCCCACTCAGACACGCTCTCCGGAAGGCCTCTCTGGCCAGGAAGATGGTGGTCGAGTAAAGCAGCGTTAGCCTGTAAAGGGAAAGCAGATGGTAAGAAGGTCTCTAGCTTTTTTATGGAGAGAATGTCTGAGATTTTACCAGCAACTGGGATGAAAAAAGCCTTGGTCACAAATCAGTGGTGGTGATGTGGAAGACAGTCTTCACAGGACTCCTCACTGTCTAATCCACTCAAACAACAACGTTAGGATCCAATTCCGGAACAGCCGTGTGTGTGCCTGCAAGGTTATGCCTGGGGGAGAAACGGCCACAGGGGCCTCCAAAGCCTGCAGACTCTGTGGCTATAAGCAGAGGTGTGGCTCTGACCATAAGGAAGAGGACAAGATATGACCCCACCCAGCAAGGGGACCTCTCAGTCACTCTGAGACTGGGGACCCAACGGCCCTTGTTAGAGAAGCTGAGGCTCTACTGAGTGAAGGCTCTACTGAGTGGAGGCTCTACTGAGTGGAGGCTCTACTGAGTGGAGGCTCTACTGAGTGAAGGCTCTACTGAGCGGAGGCTCTATTGAGTGGAGGCTCTACTGAGTGAAGGCTCTACTGAGTGGAGGCTCTACTGAGTGAAGGCTCTACTGAGTGGAGGCTCTACTGAGTGGAGGCTCTGGCCAAGAATCTCAGGACAGGCAAAGAGGCTGGCAGCCACGACAGAGGCCACTGCAACCCAGGTTAGCAAGCCTGCCTGTGTACCTCCTAGGCTGGCAGGACCGAGTGACCCTCCTGCACCTTAGCGAGGAGCAGCTGAGGCTTCCCTTCCTCAACAGGCCGTGGCCCAGATGAAGCCTGAGTGGGGGTGGCCCAGGGCTACAGTTTCTGAGGTTGTCCAAGGACCATCCTGCTCCCCAGTCAGCGGTTCTCAACCTGTGGGTCGCGACCCCTTTGGCGGTCGAACAACCCTTTCACAGGGGTCGCCTAAGACCATCCTGCATATCAGATATTTACATTGCCATTCATAACAGTAGCAACATTACAGTTATGAAGTAGCAGCGAAAATAATTTTATGGTTGGGTCACAACATGAGGAACTGTATTGAAAGGGCCAGAAGGTTGAGAACCACTGTCCCCAGTGCTTCTGTCCAACACTGCGAATGAGGAGACAACCATACGTTAAGCAGGGGGCAGGCCAGACAAGGGCTATCCAAGCAGGGACCTGCCAATCTGGAGGAGAACAGACGGGGAGAGGCCCAAACTGCTTTCAAGTCTGAGCACCCTAAGAGGATTTGGTCTTTTCCTTCCTGCTTTTAAAATCGTATTTCTCAAAGTATGGTCCCTACTTCCAAATCACCTGAGGAGCTTGTTGAAATGCAGATTCCTGGGCCCTCCTCAGCCCTACCTGGTGCAAAGCTCCCCAGGTAATGGGTGTGCCTGTCAGTGCTTGAGAACCTTCACTAGGCTGCGAGGACAGAGCCAAGAGCATATGTTTGGTAGTTATTAGATGTGAAATGCTGTCTGGAACATACTGTCTTGTTTATCAGGACATGAAGACACACCTGAGAAGCTGAGCTATTCTGCACACTCACATCCCTTCAGATACTTTTGTGTCATTTGTGAATACAGAATATGTGTGGGGTGTCCTCGAAGAGAAAGGAGGAGACAGGAAGAAACACAGAGTCTAAAAGATGAAGCCAGTCAGCTAAGAGCCACCATGGAACTAATGACAAGGACTCAAGCCCTTATCCCAGCTACCATTTTCCATTGAACAAGTCACCCAGAGAGAAAATAACCACTGAGGGAAGGAAGGCGGCTGGTTGATTACAAAGCACATCCTCACGATCTGGAGGATGCCTCCCTCCTTTGCCGTCAGCACGACAAGAACACAGAATTATACCTGAGAAGGGGTTTGCAGAGAATTACTCCCACTCCTATCCTGGGTTCTGAGAGCAGGCAAACAGGAAAAAGCTGGCTGGGAAATGTGCATTCGGAGGCTGCTAATGGAAAACACTCCATGGGTCCATTAAGAGCAACATCCCCCGCTCATTCCCCCAGCAGCATGCTCCTCCACAGCCGCTGCTAACACGCGGTGACTCCAGTAAACTTCCTTGCCTCTAAGACCCGAGGGTGACACGCAGGCACAGAGGAAAACCTAACGAGGGATGCGAGTTGCAGAGAGTGCCAGGGCGCAGACCTTCTTACCTTACGTTCACTATGCCAACGATTTCCTTGGACAGAAAGCGAAGAATAAATGCATTCAAGGCAAAGGTGATCAATCGAAACAACACCTACAGAAAAAGAAGAAAAAGACCTAAAAATAAATTATGCCGGGAGTGCTTACTTTGCTGAAATGACAACAATGTGGCTGCTCTTCCTAACGTCATGACACACAGCGGCCTTGCCATGGAGACGCCTTCTAAAACACTCAACCTGTCTGCATTTCTTCCCAAAATGCCATTTCTTGGCATCTCTTGGCGCGCCTGGGCAGTGGTCAGAGGACCCATCAGTAAACCCTAACTTCCTGATGAGAAGAGGGAGGCCCCTACAGACTCAGGGACTTTCTCTGGGTTCCGAGTCCGGCACTCCAGGAGGCAGAATGAGAACTTCAGTTAGTGCTTCCCATGGCCCCTCCTTCCAGCCTGTTTAGAAATAGCAAGCACTTTGCAAGTGGGAGCCTGCAGGGTAGAGCGGACTCACTAGTAATCATGGTGTCTAATTTCTCTTTCTTCTCTGCCTACTAGTATCTGGGGATTCTGATAATGACATTTAATCCCTTTGAACTTCAGTTTTCAATTAGAAAACAGAAAAGAATGTATTTATTTACTGACTGTTTGCCACCTTGCAGAGAGGAGCTAAAATACCTTTTAAATGACAACTGCAATAAGACACTTTAAAAGGGGGAGGGGTGGTTGGGAGAGACAGAGTCTAGCTAGTGCCATTTGGAAGGACTATATCAGTTCAAGAAAACCCCCGTAGTAAAGAATTATTCCCATGAGACAGAGAAGAACAGGCTGCAGTGAAACGAGGTTACTAAATGGGGATGCGGCTGGGGTGCCGGCCTCACTCGCTGACTCGTCCCCTGCGTCCCAGCAGCACCACAGGTGTAACTCAAGTGCACTTGAGCCCAAAAGGCAAATCACTTCTCTGTCAAGCACTCTGAGTTACCCATGCACAGCTGCAGTCTTAGTAAATCCAGGTATGTCAACGAGCGGAGCCGCTAAAGTCTGAAAATCCCCGGGGAGCGGTAAGGCCTAAAAGGGAGCGTGCAATTTAACACTGCCCCTGAAGTGCCACAGAGCAGCAAGGTCTCCAAAGCCGGTATCACAATCTTAACATCTGTGAAGTCAAACATGACCTTTTGTGAGTCTGCTGAAAGCTCTCCTTAGAAACATGCAGGTTCATACAAGGGTGGACAAAAGTAGGTTTACAGTTGTGAATACACAAAAGTTTATTCCTGTATTATTATTTATTAATTATTGCATGACTTATTTGAGTGCAACTGTAAACCTATTTTTGCCCACCCCTGTAAGTACATACACACCAAGTTCTGTACTCCGTTTTAGAGGTCTGAAGCCAATTCAGAGAGCTGTTAATGGAAAAAAGCATTCAGCTGAAAATCTCAAGTCACCATTTAACTGTTCGCCCCAGCATCCTCTAATGCAGCGGTTCTCAACCTGTGGGTCGCGACCCCGTTGGGGGTCAGACGACCCTTTCACAGGGGTCGCCTCAGACCATCGGAAAACACATATATAATTACATATTGTTTTTGTGATTAATCACTATGCTTTAATTATGTTCAATTTGTAACAATGAAATTGGGTGTCACCACAACATGAAGAACTGTATTAAAGGGTCGCGGCATTAGGAAGGTTGAGAACCACTGCTGTAATGTTCATAAGCCTCAATTTCCTTCTCTGTCAGACGATGCCTTTCTCATAGGATTGATAACAAGGATCAAACAAGATTGTGTAGGTAAAAGCATTTTTGAAAAATGCATACAAATAAAAGGCATTAATACTTTCACTACGGCCGAAACCGGTTTGGCTCAGTGGATAGAGCGTCGGCCTGCGGACTGAAGGTTCCCGGGTTCTATTCCGGTCAAGGGCATGTGCCTGGGTTGCGGGCACATCCCCAGTGGGAGATGTGCAGGAGGCAGCTGGTCGATGTTTCTCTCTCATCGATGTTTCTGGCTCTCTGTCTCTCTCCCTTCCTCTCTGTAAAAAATCAGTAAAAATATATTTAAAAAAAAATACTTTCACTATGGCCATCTCAGAGTTATGACAGAGAATAAACTCACATTCTTGCAGATTTACAATATAATTGCAAGGCTACCTCAAGTGTATGCATTGTAAATTGAAAAAACATACCAGACTGAATTAAAATACTCAGGTATCTAAAGATTATGGCTATTTTTTAAAAACCACATACACATGTTTATATTAACTTCATTATCCTTGTCTAAGAAACCTAGTGCCTCAGGCTTTTCCCTATCTCTTAAATGAACAAAAGTTTGAGCTAATGAAGCTCTAAGGTTGCTCATGCTACCCAGTATTTGCTCCACATAGAGGCCCTTATTAGTAAGTCTTCACTTTGTAAAGGAATTTACAGTTTTAAAAAAGCTCTTTCATTTCTGTTCATTATTTGACCCTTAAAACTGGGTGACTAAATGCACATGAAGCAAGTTAAGACTCAGAGCAAAGTTGACTTGCCCAGTCACTATGTCCATTTAAAAAAATTCTAAACCATAACAAAAATAATTAAGTTATTAAGTACTTATAATGTGCCAGGCATACAACTGACAGTTCACCTAATCTCCCTAATGACCGTATGAGGTTGCATTATTGTTCTCGTTTAAGATAAGGAAACTGATGCTTGGAGAAGCCAAGCAAACTTCCCAAGGGTGGGCCTCTAGCAAGTGACAAGACCCAAACTTCAGCCCAAGGCTGCCTGGTTCCTTCTCCCAGCCTCCACGGGAAACATCGACTCTCTAAAATAAGGGGGAAGATGGATTCAGGACTTTGGTGAGACAGGATTAAACGGCTCAAGAGTGCGACATAGAGAAACGGAGCCACTTGACTTAGGACCAGCTCCTAGGTTTTAACGAACCTTTAGATATCCTTTGGGCCAACCAGCATGTATGCTGACAGATGATGAATATTAGGACCAAGAGGAGGAAATGATTGGTTCCAGGTCACATAGGCAGAAGGAAGACACACCAAGATTTACTAAGGGCATGCGAAGCAATTATCCAAATAACTTCAATCTAGCCTAGCAGCAACCTTATGGGCTAGGTACTATTATTGTTGTTGTTGTTGTTATTACTATTATAACCCCCATTTTCCAAATGAGGCGCTGAGGCTTAGTAGGTGAAGTCACTTGCCCTGGCTCATTCAGCAAGAACTTGGCAGAACCAGGAATTCAATCCAGGGCCTGCCTGAGCCCAGATGCCATACAGTCTCTCTGAACTCAGTGGGAGTCAGGGAATTTGAGGCATGTGTTTGAGGGTGAGGGGTGGAGCATGGAGAAGATGAACCCCTTGCCTTAAAATACATCAGATCACACAGCACCACAAACACCCCCGCCACCTGATCTCTCTCCTGCTGCTCTACGAGAAATAACTACATTTCTCAAAACGAACGTGGCTTGTTGGCCATCTCCCAGCCAGGACTCTGAACGCCGGCTCCCAACTCCGGGCCCAGGAGCCCCACCTCCGCCGCCACCTCCTCCTGTCCAGCCCCTCGGCAGCGGGGCTGAGCCAGCCCGCAGGCGGCTCCCCGCGGACCCCGGCGGCGGGACGGCGCGGGGGCGGCCGGGCAGAGAGTACCTGCAGGAGGAGACCCGAGGAGGCCAGCCGGGCCGCCTGGCCCAGCACCTCCTGGCTGCCCATAGCCCGGCGCCCGGCTGTCACCAGGAAACGCCGCCGCCAGCCGTGTCGTCGCGAGAAGATCGCGTCACTGGGCAGCTCGCCCGCTGATTGGTCGATTCGGAACGGAAGGCGGGGCGCGGGCAGTGCGGGGCCCTATGAGTGGGCGGGGTGGGGCGCGTCAGTGTTCTGCGCCCATCTCTTCTCCCCTTTGTGCTGGGCTAGGCGCTTTCTCCGCCTGCCCCTACCTGAACCAAATAAGCTAAGTCAGTGGTTCTCAACCTTCCTGATGCCGCGACCCTTTCATGCAGTTCCTCATGTTGTGGTGACCCCCAACCATAAAATTATTTTCATGGCTACTTCATCACTGTAATTTTTTTTTTTTAAATATATTTTATTGATTTTTTACAGAGAGGAAGGGAGAGAGATAGAGAGAGTTAGAAACATCGATGAGAGAGAAACATCGATCAGCTGCCTCCTGCACATCTCCTACTGGGGATGTGCCCGCAACCCAGGTACATGCCCTTGACCGGAATTGAACCTGGGACCTTTCAGTCCGCAGGCCGACGCTCTATCCACTGAGCCAAACCGGTTTCGGCTTCATCACTGTAATTTTGCTACTGTTATGAATCGTAATGTAAATATCTGATATACAGGATGTATTTTCATTGTTACAAATTAAACATAATTAAAGCATAGTGATTAATCACAAAAACAATATGTAATTATATATGTGTTTTCCGATGGTCTGAGGCGACCCCTGTGAAAGGGTCCTTCGACCCCCAAAGGGGTCGCGACCCACAGGTTGAGAACCGCTGAGCTAAGTAGTGGGTACGGAGGAGAAACGTGGTCTCTCTGAGCTCTCTGTTCACCATCCACAGAACACGGACTCCCCTAACTTCACTAACAAGATTCCGGCCTTTTGGCCTTTGCCTACAAAATCGCACCCCGAGTTAGGCAATTCCCTGGATGGGAATTGACCCAACTTCACAGAGAAAGAACTGAGGACCAGAAGTGACATACAGCGTTTTTGCAGGAGTGGTTCTGTGGAATCCTTCCTGAGTGCAAAGAAGGAGTCAAGTGAGACCCAGAGGTGTACAGTGACTTGTTCTGTCTACACGTCCTGCCCCTGCTGGCGCAGACCCCGGGCTCCGGGTCCTAAACTTGCCTCTCTTGCCCTCCTGCTACCAGAGCAGAAGGACGGACAGGGGTGCTTTCTAAAATGTAAAGCACCCAGCACACCATCAGCTGCTCTTCTGTTGGTTTATTTGCTATGCAGACTCTGGGAAACCCAGTCTTCTCCAGTATCTTTTAGGCCTCCTGTGATTTGACCCCAATGTTATGGACCAATGTTCACGAGAGTAAGACCACCAACTCCAATTAGGTCTTAAGCAGCAAGTGAGGATTTATTGAAAAGCTGGCCAGCGACTGCCATAGGCGTTCTCTCCTACCACAGCGCCGACCCTGGTTCTGGGCCAGCCTTTTATTCACAAAACGGTTGGCTAAACACACACAAAGTTACCTGGGACACATTAATCAACACTGCCCCGTTACCAAGGTATTATTAATCAACTTGCCCCGTTTCTCTAGCTACTAATATCAACTTGCCCCGTTGCCCTAGCTATAATAAACTTGCCCCGTTTCCCAGACTACCCTCGACCATAGTTGGTTCCATTTCCCCAGTAACTGCCAACATACCTGAGAGGGACATTCAGAGGTTAAGAGATTTTACAAGGGGGGCTTAACTGTAACACCCAACCTGCCTGCTTGACCACCTTCCATAATATAATCACTGCCCTTTCCCAACACACTGTAGGCTCTAGCCGTTAGGAACCCTTACTGTTTCTCAAACAGGCCCTGTCTTGTCGGTCTTTGCTCCTGCTTTCTTCTCTGCCCAGAGTGCCTTCCTTGATGGTGCCCCCCACTCAGGCCCCACGGCCACTGTCAGCTCCTGCTGTGGACTGAACGTGTGTGCTCCCCAAACTCATACATTGAAGCCCTAATTCCCAGTGTGATGGTTTTTGGAGGTGGGGCCTTTGGGAGGTAATTATGTCATGAGGGTGGAGTCCTCAATGAACGGGGTTAGTGCCCTTATAAGAAGAGACAAAAGAGAGATGAACTCTCTCTCCACCAGGAGAGGATGACAGCAAGAAGGCAGCCAGCTTCAAAACAGGAAGCGGGCTCTCACCAGAAATGTGAATTAGCCAGAACTTTATCTTGAACTTCCCAGCCTCCAGAACTGCAAGAAATAAGTTCCCGTTGCTTAAGCCACTCAGTCTATGGTCTTCTGTTGCAGGTGCCTGAGCAGACTAGGCCCGCACCTATACAGCACTTTGTAACCCTTTGTAGCTTTTAGCACTATCTGCTTTGCAATGAAGAGACTGGAATATGTTTCTCTGTCTAAACAAGAAAGCAAGAGTGAAGTCCACCTGGCTTTTCTCCCTGCAAGATAGCAGAGAAAGTTCCTAGGACCCCCATAAATATCTCCTGACTCTTACTGCTGCCGGGAACAGATAATGGAGCTCAAGCCTATGTACCCTTCTGTCCCCATCTTGCCAGATTAGCTCTACCTTATGGTGGAGGCACAGAATGTGAGCTTTTGACTGTCAGAAAGGCCCTGAATCCTCGTTCTGCTACTCACTAACTGGGTGACCTCAATGTGCTTAACTATTAACTAGGGGATATTCTCTGTCCTGTGAGGGTAATTATAAGAATCAAAGTAGACAAAAAGTCTGGCCCTTAAGGAGCTTAAATTGCAGTGGAAGGGAGACTGGGGCGGGGGGGGGGGGGGCGGGGGGGACCCTAACAACAAACAATAAAATTTCACATAATGGTAAGTGCTATGAAAGAATAAAACCACAGAAGGTAACAGAGTCTCTTGGAGGGTAGGAAGGGGCGATGTTCTGGATGACAGAGCAAACCTGGCACCCGCCGGGGAGAGGCGTGTACCTGGAAAGGACAGCAAAGTGTTGAAGGGTTGAGGTATTCAGCCTAAGGCCTTGACCTGGCAGCCTGCCCATCCCATGGACCTTGGACTGGCAGGTGAGGTAGGCTCTGGCTGCCTTTATCGCCAGCCAAGCAGCTGCCTCCTCATCCCTGGAACAGAACCAGCACGAGCTCTTCATGTCCACACGCTCCTAACCCTGGGCATCCAAGTGGGCTGGGCTGGGAGGGACAAGGGGATCGTTTCTTTGGGAACAAAGAAGTCAAAGGGAAATGCTCCAAGCTAAGTCTGAAGGGTAAAGCCGCCCACGAGTCCAGGGTACAGACCCCGAGGGGCTCCTGGGCAAGGAGTCGTGGATCTTTTTCTCTCGGCCGGAAAGTTAAGACTTAACACGGAGAGACTGGGCAGGAATTTGTGCCCAGAGCCATGGTGGATGCTGGGGTTGATGGGGGAGAAGGACTTGTGACTAGAGCCCATGAGCATTGACCACTGGCCCCACATCAGCACCTGTCTGAGCACTGGACTCCTCATTCTCTCAACAACCCATGAGGTAGATATTACAGATGAGGAAACTGAGGCACGGAGATGTTACGTTACTCCCCCAAAGCCGTTCAGGTCGGGAGTGGTCAAACTGGTATTTGCACCGAGGTGCTTTCTGACTCCAAATGCTAAGAGTGATGTTCCTGCCCTCAAAATGCTCCTGGTCCTGAAGGAGACTGGGCTAAGAATCTCCATATCTAAACCCCAGAGGACATGTGTGGCACCAAGGGGGTGGGCCCTGGGAGGCTGCCGTGGCTCAGCTGCATGGAGCCTCCCCAACGGCCTCGCCTCTGTTAACGGTATTGGCAGCAACGGGGCATGGCACATGCCATGGTCTTTGTGTGGAGGGCTAAGCTCAGGGCTGGTGAGCTATGGCCCACTAGCTGTGGCCTGCTTTGTATGACCTGTGCGCTAAGAATCGTTTTTACAGTTTTAAAGGGTTGGGAGAAAAATATCAAAAGAAGACTATTTCATGACGCATGAAAATCACATGAGATTTAAATTTCCGTGTCCACAAATAAAGTTTTATTACAACACGCCACATCCACCCATTTGTTTATATACTCGACCTGGCGGCCTGCCCATCCCAAACACTGTCTTGCTACAACAGCAGGTAGTTTGCTCCAAAACACTGAAAATGTTTACTATCTGGCCTTTTACAGAAAAAGTTTGCCAATCCTGGTGAGCCCCAGGGCCTGACACCCAGTAGACATTTCAATATTGAATGACTGGATGCACAGATAAAATAAATAATGAAGGACTAGGAAAGAAAGAAAGACAAATAAGAAGGTTCTTTGCCCCGGGGTCACTTGGTTTGGGGAGCAAGTGATCCTTGGAGAATGCCAGACCATAATTGGTGCTCACTGAAGGAGCCGTTTCCCCAGGCTCGCCCCTCCCTCCTGCCCTCTGTGCCAGGGGGCCTCCTTGCCAAGGAAAGCTGACCCGAGCTGGCTATTTTATTACCCAGCTGAAGGGAGTGCCAGGGCTGGCGCCAAGCCAGTTAGGCTCCCAGGGCAGTGGGGCAGGGAGGGAGGCTGCCAGCAGGCGAGGAGGCAGGGTCAAAGCGGTGCCTTAGACCTCATCTGGGTGGAGGCAGGAGAGCTGGGCGTTGTCACTGGGAGATGGGGAATTTGGGGTGAGGGTCCTGCCCCACCAAGGCTTTCTGCTGCCCAGGGTCCATTCCTGCAAGAGAACCTCAAGGCTCTGTCCCTCACTCAGAAGTCCCTGGGCATGAGAACACGGCTGCACTACTAGCAGCCTACATTTGTTGAGTGTGTACAGGTACTGTGCCGGGCACTTCACCTCCATGATCTCATTTTACTCTACGAGGAGGCCCATGAGCCCTGGCCAGGTGGCTCAGTTGGTTGGAGCATCGTCCCATACACCAAAAGGTTGTAGGTTCGATTCCCAATTCGGCAACTGATCAGTGTTTTCCTCTCATGTTAATGTCTCTCTCTCTCTCTCTCTCTCTCTCTCTCTCTCTCAAATCAATAAACATATCCTCGGGTAAGGGTTAAAAGGAAAAAGGAGCAGGCCCATGAGGCATAAGCCATTATTATCCCCATTTTAAAGACCAGGAAAC